TTCCAGATCCTCCATCATTAGGGGTAACTGAGACATGGCCACATCGTATTTTCTAGACGCACGCACACACCACTAGAGATCATAACCTCCTTTAGACGAAGCGTTGTGTCTCGTTCTTACAGACCTAGTCCTCACCGAATGGTCTGCCCTGACACCGGCTGTAGAGTTTCCAAAGTGTAAAAGGGCAGCCAGTCAGCCAGGTCCTCGCGGACTTCCTAACACAATTGTGCAGATGGAAGTCGTAACAGGAAACAAAGCCCCAAACACATGTCCAGTCGCGGGATTGTTGAAAGCAGGTCCTGCAGCTGTCCCTGTACCATGGGAGGCAGTGTGGGCCGGCCTGGTCGTGAGAGGCTTCCTTCAGGCAGCTAGCCAGAAACCGGGGCTTGGAGAAGTTACACTGGGGGGAGGAAGGCCAGGCAGGAGGAGGGAGCAGCCATGATAGATGGGCTATTTGCAGACAGCAAGGCCATGCTCTGCCTACTTCTCTCCTTCTAGAACTCTCTTCCCCTTGATAGGCACTTAGCTCATTTCCCCAGCTCCTTCAGACTCGAATATATCTTCCCAGTGAGGCCACAGTCCCCCTACATTCCCATTCCGGCCCAGTGCAGCTGCCCTTACCCTTTTCTCTTTTTTTCTATAGCAGTTGCCACCTTCTGTTCGATTTACTTGTCTGGTTAGTTTGTTTACCATTCGCTGCCTCCAGAATGGGGACTCCTCAGGAGGCCTGTTTGTCTGCTTCGATTGCTGATGTACGTCAGGCCACTAGAATGGTGCCTGGCGTGTGGTTGAGGCCCAAGAAATATTTTTCCAGCGAATGAACGAGAAGGATCAAGACAGGCAGTGGCACTCTGGAACTAAGGGGTGTTGGTTAGGGCAACGGAGTTGAACGACTCCAGGAGTGCCTTTCACATTCTGTGACGTAAATAGAGGTCCCTTGGTTATGAGACACAGCAGGCCTTTAAAGTAGACGAATTGATGATTAGTGGGTCACATTCTACTTCTTTCTGTAAAGATCAATAAAGTTTCCATAAAGGGCAAGTTCTTTGCTATCTCCTAAGGATAGGTGATTAGACTGTAATGAAAAATTTTCCTAACTTTTTTTTTTTTTTTACTCCTGTGAAAGAAGTAAAAATCCGAATTGTGTTTAAGACCCACACCTCATGTAACCATTGCTTGTTACGTGGTCTCAAGGGAGACATAATAAGCAGCTGTCACGTGAGGCACGGGTCTTAAAGACAATTCGGTTTTTAGGATTCCTTATTTCTACAATTCATTTCCTCTTCCCTTAAACAGAAAGGTCTCAGCTCCACTCATCAGGATTCGTAGAGACCAATGGTTTTGAAAGCCTGGTCCCTAGACCAACAGCGTCATCACCACCTGGGAACTTGTTGTAAATGTACCCCAGACCTAATAAGTCAACAGCTCTATGGTGGGGCCTACAGGTGGTTCTCATGCACGTCCAGATTGGAGAACCATAGTTAGACATCATCCCTCATTGGAGAATCTCTTTCTATCTTCTTTACGTTCCTAGCAACTAAGAAGATGCTGAAATATACATTGTGTAATTTGTCTTATATAAATAGTTGGGTTTCTTACTCCGAATATAAAACTTTTATATAGAATGACAGCCCTCCCCGGAGCTCGTGCTATACCTCCCTGCCTCACCCATTAGATAATCCCTGGACTAGAGAACGTTTAAGAGCCTTAAATAATCCAGAAGGGAGAGAATAATACTAACCTTACATATTGTTGCTGTGTTTCTATGCATGTGGTCTTCCTTTGGAAATTACACATAAGTTCCTCAAGGCTTGTTCAATTTAAGAAGCACTTTCTAGAACCATGCCTAATCCCAGAGAAAACCAAATTAACGCTCCCCACAAAGTCATGTGGAATCACACTCTTAGCAACTATGAGTACGTGTTGAAGCTAAGGAAGAGTTGCCTGCCTTTGACTCTGGGAGTGTCCATGGCCATGAAATTTTTTGGAAAGACCGAATTGGTAGCTATAACTACAAAACCCTAGAGTAATAGAAAGCAGAGAGATGTTCATGTCTGTGCTTCATAGAACATGTGGGCCCCAGATCACGTTGTAATGATGAAATGTAAATTAAAAGTGATCACCAGAACTCATTCGAAGCCTGGATTTTTTTTCCAGTTTTTCTTACGCAGCATGTGTTAGGTTAGTACCAAAATAACAAACATACCTTCCAAAAGCCCTAAGAGTAAGGTTAGCCACTAATTCAGACGGTCTTGGTCAGAGATTCCAATGTAGCAAAGCTGAGGAAATTATAATGCAATTACGTCTCGTTCACTACATGTGTTAAATGCTCTTTCTCTGTACTCGGGGTCACGATGCCATTTGTATATTCTTGGACTAAGACCTGGACATATGTTTGTCTCTTTATGAAGCTTGCTGAGGTCCAAGGAATGCTGAAGTTACTGCCTAGCGACTTACTGATGTTTCGTGTGCGTGTCTGGTTTTCTTTCTGATCAGAGTAGTAGTTAACCAGCTCTCCAGATGAAAAAGGCCCAGTTTGTAGCATTTGCCAATTTCCATGGTGTAAATATTCTCAACCTGACCAAGTTCAAGCTCGAAGTTTGACATCATTGCCTGGACGGTTTGGGAAAGATACACACGAACAGCTCTCTTAGATGGGTGCAAGCCAGTTCTAACTCATCATCGGAATGTAGAAAACTTGGAAAGCGGAGGAAAGGATTAAACAAACAAACAAAACAGAGGAGGGGCGCCTGTGTGGCTCAGTCAGTTAAACTTTATTATTTATTTAGTTATTTTTGAGAGAGAGAGAGAGAGAGTGCAAGCAGGGGAGGGGCAGAGAGAGAGAGAGAGAGAGAGAGAGAGAGAGAGAGGGAGACACAGAATCTGAAGCAGGCTCTAGGCTCTGAGCTATCAGCACAGAGCCCACAGCGGGGCTTGAACTCACGAATGGCAAGATCATGATCTGAGCCAGTCAGATGCTTAACCGACTGAGCCACCCAGGCACCCTGGTAGTTCTCCTTTTTTACATGTTTTCTTCCTATCAAGGGCTGCGCAGTGAGGCAATCTCTGTGTGCTTCCTGCCCCACTCATTAGGTAATTTCTGGACTAGAGAATGTTTAAGAGCCTTAAATGATCTGGAAGGCCCTTTCCTGCTCTGGTAAACATATTCCATCTCTCCCCACTTATGTCCCTGGTTCTGTCTTGTTACCCTTCTCCAAGACCCAAGCTGGTGCAGCTCCGGTCTCACTCTTCTCTGATGATCCAGGCACCCCAGGGCCGGTGGGTTCTTCCCTGACGTATCTTCAGGACTCAGTCCCTCCCCCTTTCCCAGGCTCCTTTCCAGAGCCCTCTCCAAGAGGCTGTCTACCTAAGGTCGCTGTCCTTCCTACCCACAGTCTCCCTTCTCTGCATATTGGTCTTCCCCACCAGCAGTGCCCCCTGACATCATGGATTTTCCGGGTTCACTCTCGAGGAGAAGCTCCATACCAGTATTCCCAGAGCCTAGAGGAGCAGCTGACACTCGATAAATACTTGTTGGCTGAGTTAGTGTACTTCAACCCTAGATCTGAAGGTTTAGTTCTGTCTTGATAAAGGCAAAATGAATTCATATGCTCTCTTTAAACACGGAAGATGCTATTCTCAGTATATGTAACAAATATAGTTCTATATTTTTAAGGTTTTATGTCTTTATAGAAGCAGAGGTTTGTATTTTTCCTGTAGCTAAACTTCTCGTTGTGATTTTCCCCATTCAGATTACACTCCCAGAATTCTTTTTCATAAAGAGATCAGATAATTTTTCACCTATTCTTTAGTCTTAGATATTTTGCCTTTATTTAAAAAAAATTTTTTTTAATGTTTATTTTTGAGAGCGAGAGACAGAGCGTGAGCATGGGAAGGGCAGAGAAAGGGAGACACAGAATCTGAAACGGGCTCCAGGCTCTGAACTGTCAGCACAGAGCCCCATATGGGGCTCAAACTCGCAAACTGTGAGATCATGACCTGAGCCAAAGTCAGAGGCTTAATCGACTGAGCCACCCAGGCATCCCTGCCTTTTTTTTTAAACATATAACTCTTTAATATGTAAAGAAGTATTGGGGCGCCTGGGTGGCGCAGTCGGTTAAGCGTCCAACTTCAGCCAGGTCACGATCTCGCGGTCCGTGTGTTCAAGCCCCGCGTCAGGCTCTGGGCTGATGGCTCGGAGCCTGGAGCCTGTTTCCGATTCTGTGTCTCCCTCTCTCTCTGCCCCTCCCCTGTTCATGCTCTGTCTCTCTCTGTCCCAAAAATAAATAAAAACGTTGAAAAAAAAATTTAAAAAAAAAATATGTAAAGAAGTATTTTGCTATTATGATTAAATGAAGATCTAAATTGTGGTGCTTTATTTGTGTGTGTGTGTGTGTGTGTGCGTGTGTGTGTGTGTGCGTGCGTGCATGTGCAACTGACTGTTGGGTTTTTATTGCTGCTAATGACGTTAGTTTTCCTTTGAATCGTGCTCCATAATATTTTAAAATTTAACCTACATATTTTCTTCTCATGTAAAATCTGTAGGCACCACATTTCAATGGGCGTTTCTCAGTTATCTCTGAGATATTTTCTTGGTCATACCTCTTTATTTTAAAAGCACCTTCCAATCTGGACCAAATATACTTGAGTCTGTATTTGTTATCACTACAAGTTCTGATAAGATACAGACCAAATAAACGGAAATATAATTGGAAGCTGGGTTCCCAGAAGTAGAAACACATCAAAGACCGAAGTCAAATCTGCCTCTAAGCTGCGTACTTTTCCGGAATCACCTGCCAGGTGTTATCAGCCCTGGAGAAGTCACCATCCTATTGACTCTCTGTTAAGCCCAATGGCTGACCCACAGTTGTTGCTATTTAATAAATATATGTGTGCTGAATTGCATCGCATCGAACCTTAGGGCACGATGCCTTTGCAGGGAAGTGTTCCTAGGAACGGCTTTCCTTTCTCATCTGTCTTCTGTTTTCTCTTTCTCCTAGTTGCGGTCCAGCACAGAGCTACATCCCGACCTGCTCACGGATTGCCTCACCGTGCAGCCCCTGCCCTCGGCCACTTCCCCGCGAGATGCCGCTGCCGACAGTGCGGTGGGACGCTCCCCGGGGCCCGGGCCTGACCTCTATCCAGGTAACGAGGGCCGGCCGAGGCCACGGCCACTGTCCTCCCCCAGGCCCTTCCCTCTGGTTGAAGGGAATGCTCACATGAGAAAAATTCTCCTAAGATCATCTGTATTTTGCCTTATCCAGGGGCTCCACGTTGCCCCCCACCCCTGCTCCCCATCTGATTCCTGAGCTGAGCTGGCAGCAGGCTGTTTTTTCTCATAAAGAAACACAGTAAAATAATGCATTAGCTCTTTTAGTTCTGGACATCTGCCAAAAGTCCAGGGCACCCAGCTCTCCCAGGTATCTTAAATTTATTAACTTGACTCAGACCCAAAGGAAAAGTGCCCCCCCCCCCCCCCCCCCCCCCCCCCCCCCCCCCCCCGCTGTAAGCAAGTAACAGGCTGCATGTGGATTTCTTAATGGAACAGTTATTGTCATCTTTGCATTTCAAAAGGAAGCCCCAGGTCTCTAAGAAGAATTTCACATCAGTAAGCCGCCCTTTAAGAATGGTTTGTGGACCACTGGGATGGCGGGGAGGAGGGGGGGATGAGAGGGCCCTCCCAGCCTGGTGTCCTTCTGCCTGGGTTTGAATGGTAGCTGACTCCATATTTGGAAACTTTCATCTACGTAAGGAAAAATAAGAAAGGATTAATATGCAATAAGGAAGTCATTTGTTTCCGTTTACTTTGTTCGCCTGGATTTTTGTGCATTTTCCACTCTCTGTAATGATGATGTACCTGTGCAAACTAATTGGTTGCCATCCCTCACACGTGGAAAGCCCTTGCTGTCATGCTGAATATGAAAGCGAAAGTTCCCCCAGTCCCACCTTCCAGACAATGGGGATTTTCTATTATCTGTGGATCACAAGTCCCACAGCCACCCCCATCTGATTCTGGAGCCAGACTTTGGCAGAAAACTGGGGTTTTTTTCTTTTTAAAAGTACTCATAAGCCATAAAGAATTAAGAACTTACTGATGCATGACTGTAGGCTAGGAAAAGCCATGTTTGTAGGACTTTTTCTTAACTGGATAGTTCTCAGTTGATCCAAATTCAGGGCAAAGGGCGTTACGCAAATACTTGGAGAGGGTCCGTCATCAGGACATTCTTAATGTTGTCCCATTGTTGGTGGCCCTTTATCAGCTGTTCTGGGTACTTTCTCTTAGAGAAAACAAAGCCTCTGCTATTTGAGACCCTAGGAGATCTGAGGGGCAGACCCAGTCTTACAGACGTTTCGGCTATAGGTACATAGAAACACATGAAATACACCAGAGTACAGTGTTACCAACTCATATAAATATTTTGTGTTAGATATATACGTGAGAAAGCGTGACTCGTTTTTGTTTGCACATATGTCTGTTTGATTTGCCAAATATTTGATATAGGAACATTTATTCTAGCACATTAAATTAGCAACCAGTTTATGACAGGCTACATAGCAATTCCTAGTCCCTCAGTCCATAAATCCATGACCTTTGTAAAGACCTGGGACCCCATAGTTAAGAGTGGAAGCCAACCAGAATCGATTGAAAAGAGGGCCCAACATCCACTATGGAGAGTTGATGGTAATGGGCTAGTCTCACTGCATTTAACTTGGAAATGGGTTTGGGAAGCCATGATATCTCTATCTTTGGAAAACACTAGTACCTTTGCCCTGTGTAGCATCTAGGATATGGCTCACTTTCCAAACGGAGGAGGCACGTTTGTCTTGGTGTGTGTTTTGTATGTCTGGGAGTGTGGTCAAAGTTTTTTTTTTTTTTTTTTTTAAAGATTTGTGTTGAACCAGCTTCGTCACTCCAGACAGATTTCCTTTTTTTTTTTTTTTTTTTTTTTTCTTCCTCCTGACACTTTTCCGTGTGTGGTCTTCAAAACGATTATGAGCTCCCAGCTTTGAGCCTCCAGCCGTGGTGGGCAAGCTTCCGTGATGGGCATAGGAACCCGAGCTGCCATAGTATCAACAGAGCATCTTCTGTTGACTTGAATTTTCTGTGACTCTGGAGACGTTTGGAACAGGCAGGTGACCATCAGGCTTGAACCGTGTTCTTGGAATTTTGCTCCTGTAGTTAGTGCACTGCCGTGAAAGTTTATGCCCCCTCCTTCTCCCTTCATGCCTGTGTCCCTTGGGTCCTACTTTACTTCCTTTGTTCTCGCTCTTTTGGAAAATTGATGAAGTCTTCTGTTTTGCTGAATACACAGCAAACCCAGAGCAGAACAAAGCAGAAGGGAAAACCACACAAGGAAAATGTTAAACCTCCCTGAAAAAAAGTGCTAGAAATGCACGTGCCAGGAGTGCATGTTCCTACCAGTTTCAAACCTGTACTACAGATCTGTGGAAAGAAGCCAAACAGTGAAAAATGCCAAAGGAAACTGAAGCGGTTCATCAATTTGTTTAGCGTAAACTCCTAAGTGTTAAGGGAATTTGACAAAGATAAAGACTTGGCTAAATGGTGAAAGCCCTCGGAGCCCTTCCTTTCACGTTCTGTTACACAAAGTCGAGAAAATATTTGTTTAATGATTGTTAAGCACTTACAATTCCAAGTGCTAGTAAAGTGATGTATCAGAAAAATATTTTGAGGGAAACCTGTTGAATACGTATGGATGTAGGATCAGAAGCAGTTCAGCAGTGAGCACCAGGATTTTCTAGAAGCCACAAGACTGAGGACGCAGTTTGCAGAAGTCATGATTTGGAAATGGACCTTTGTACTGGCTTAGTAAACAACCATCTGTGAGATTCCGAGAGAGGGATGGTTTGCAGAGCACTAAGAACAGGAAAGGTGGCAGTTCTCACACCTGCAAATCTTACAAGTCTCCTAACATGTTGGCTTCCCTTATGGAGACAGCGTTTCCAGAGAATGTGATTGGAAAGGATTTCCAGAAAAGGCTTTTATTTCCGTGGAAGGAAATAGCGTTCCAGGTTCAAGCAGCCAAAATATCGCTTGAGTTCACGCTGAGGACTACTTTCAATTGAGGTGTTTACTTGCCTACTATCCTGAAAATCCCGGGGTCCCTAGACCCGATCCTGAGCCAAACTGAGAGCAATCTTGTGACCTAATGGGAAGGCCGGGACAGTGATGAGCAATTCTCAAGGATGGCTCCCTCACCTCTTCTGCCCTGTTGTTCAGAAGTTCTGTGCCCTAGATATCTAGATAATGCTCTAGGCTAGCCTATAAATTTAGGTAATTTAGCTGATAATCTGAGGGAGAAGTATTTCACAGCCAGTAGATCAAGGGGTGACTGCCACTTCCAAGGCTTAATGCCTGTGAAGAAGGTCTCGTCAGCTTCCTCGATGAACTCATGAAGCAGAGGAATGCACGAATAACGAGTCTGCAGCACCGTGGACAGCCTGGACCACTGCCTGCTCTTGGTTGAGAGTCTGTTCACTAACAAAGCATGCTGTATGGCGGGTGATCTGTACCATAGGTGGTCACCAAGCTTATGGCTCCTTCCAGATCGAAACTGTACTACAGATTCAATAAAACGTGGTCTTTGCCGATGGCCTGAGCCATAAAGACACCGTAGAGGCCAGTGTGGTTGAGGTGTTTGAGTCCCATGGAAATCACCCATCGAGTGAGGAACTAATGCACCTAGAACAAGGAAATATGCAAGAATGGTGGGATTTTATTGGTACCACTAATACTGAGATATAAAATGATCCTGTTTTAGAGCTTGCAAGTTCTTTTGAATTTTTAAAATTTTGAATGCAACGTTAGATTTCTCAGGAGGATATAGAAGTGCGATGCTCAGATATTATAGGGAATTATTGAAGGAAAAATAGGCTTATTTTAGGGCAGGAATTTTGAAGTCATATATTGTCATTCCCTTCCCCTCACCCTTATTATGGGGAAATGAAGCCTTCCCGCTCACAATATCACCACATTTTGTAATAAATAGCACCATAAGAAATCCATGCGAGATTTGACATACTTCATGAAATGGTTAATGTTGTATTTTAATGTGATTTTATGGTATATGTTTTAATACCTTTTCTGTATTCTTAGGTTGAATATATTTGCTATCTCAGGACAGCTTACAGAATTGTAGGGGCTAGAAATATTTTTATAGGAAAGTGCCTCGTACAGTCTACTCTCAAAAAGTGGTTGTTAACTTAGGGACTTTATTAGGAGTTCTAAATTGACACACGAATTTCCCAATGGGTTAAACTTTACAGAATTGCAAAGATCAAATAACATGATCTATATAAAAAGCAGGCATAGAGCATTATAAAAAATGCAATAGATATTGCTTGCACGATCTTCAAAAGCAGTGATTTGCTTAGAATTCACCAGAGGTGAAAAAGGGACAGAATGACTTGGACCCAGCAGTGGACAGAAGGAGGTGGACACTGGGGTTACAGAAGTGATTTAAAGGGAAACATTTGGCAGTGTCTTTTCCGCGTCTCTTCTGACATTGCCTTGAATTGCTCGTCAAACTCTTGTATTGTTCTTAACATCCCACACATCTGTGGTTTATCTACCAAGTTGGATTGGAAAATCCGTAACGGTAGGAGGAAGCCTCGCTCTTCTCCGTTGCAGGCAATGACAGCATTAACCTGTAGATTTCACCTTCCCTGGCCCTGAGCCAGTCTGTTTATGTGCATTAGGTCACCTGGAAGACCCGTGAAAATACAGATTTCTGAGCCCCACCCCCAGAATTTCTGTTTCAGTAGCTCTGAGCTAGTCCCAAGAATTTGAATTTCTGCTGGGGATTTTTAACAAACTCTCAGGCGACACTGGGTCCTGCTTGTCCAGGAACAACTCTTCGAAAACTATTGCTCTGGATCATGAAATGTGGGAGTGTTATAGCAGAATATAATCTCAGTTTTGACTGGTGGAAGTTACAATAAGAATTGCCCATCATTAACTAAATGGAGAGAACCTTTCACAGTGTCTAGATAGTTAGTATACCAAATTACCACGAGGTACAGTTGGAAATACCTTACAGTCTTATATAGCAGTTATATGTCAGTAAAGGTGAAACTTTAAAAAATAATAATCTTAAAATTTACGCATGTAAACCATGTGATGGAAA